GGAATCATTTATTCCTTTTAAGGAATTAACTGTGTGTCAAAACGCAACATATTGATGCAAGAAAAATTAAATAAAAAAGCAGGGATGGAAGGGGTTGAAAATCAGGAAAACATTTCAGAAAAAAACATGTGGGTGGGTTGTTTGCATCTACCCTGTCTCAAAGTCGAAATTATTTTATCATCTCTAGAAGTGATTTTCCTGGAGGTAATGCATTCGCCTAACATATGCACCTGTTTAAATCCCCAGGAAATGACCAAAATCAAACATATGACTGTTCAAAATATGTTGCGCTAACTTCCCTCCTCCTTTGGCAATCACCGCTCCAAGAGCTCGGTTGGCAGATTTTGCGAGTATTTTTACTGATTCATTATAGTCTAGGTGTTCATTAAAATATAGTCCAAGATATTTATAATCATGTGTGTAATCAAGTGTTATTTCACCGCATATAAATTGTTTCTGGCATCAATTTACATTTTTGGGGCGGAAATGCATTATTTTGGTTTTGTCTTTATTAATCCGTACTCTCCACTTTTTGCACCATTCATTTAAAATATTGAGTAGTTGTTGTAGATTATCTGAGCTTGGAGCGATCAAAATAATATCATCTGCATATGTTAAAATACCTATGTTAGTCCCTCCAATGTCAATGCCATATCCAGTGGTATTGATTTCTGATATTGATATGTCTGAAATGTTGTCACCTTAAGATGATGGCTTCTTAAGCGTCTTTAGCCTTGCCCAAGTCGGTATTTTTTTACTTATCTGGTCTTGAATTATAGAAATCAAGATAAGTAAAAGAGACCGACTTGGGCAAGGCTAAAGTGTCTTATAATCTGAGACTAACATATTATAATGAAGAAACAGGAATGTGCTCTTTTACACCATTATAGACTAAATAAAACAATTATGTAAAGATATATATATATATATATATATATATATAACACTTCATAAAAATATTTAAACCCAAATTGAACTATAAATAAATAAAAGTAACCATAACAACAAGGTAAATATATAATTGAATATGAATTATATTTGATTTACTACGTAACTATGGTATCTACTATGTATTTTTATTATAATGCGAATTAATGTAATTAAATGTCGTAATTGAATAATTGATATACTTATTACGTAATACATTCGCATGTTTATCCATTCCCAATGGAGATCAAAGGTATAACGTCATAATGTGCGATTTAAATGATAATCAGTTACCTGAAGAATAAAAGTGAAACCGGTAGTGACTGAATTACTTCTTCTGTTATTTTCTGTTTTTATAATCAATTTTTATATATATATATATATATATATGATATATTTTATGTGCTTTCAAATGTTGTCCTGTGTGGTTTTTCATTGTGATGTAAAATAATAAATTCAGTATTTTAGTGCCACTTTAGTGCAAACTGTATAGGACCAATTGATCAAGATACTAATATGCATAAGTTAATTACTTGAAGTGTTTTTCAATGGTGCCCCTTCTTCTTTCTCACTATGACATCAATTAAAAATTCACTATTCTTTTGTGACCCATAGTTGGTGAACAATTGATCTCAAAGAAACATAAAGAACATCAATATTCAATAGTTTGATATACATTTTTTGACTTTTTTGAAGGAAATCTGATAAGCGTTTTTTCTGAAATGGCGATGGCAAGATTTTTCGAAAAACCTTCAAAATGGCCACCAGAAAACAAGATGGCCGCCCAAAAGTTAATCAGCTCTAGTACTTGATATCCTCTATCATGAGTGTTTTGAAGGAAATCCGATGAGCGGATTTTCTGAAATGGCGATGACAAGATTTTTCGAAAAATCTTCAAAATGGCTGCCAGAAAACAAGATGGCCGCCCAAAAGTTAATCAGCTCTAGTACTTCATATGCTCTATCATCTCTGCGAATTTGGAGAAAATCTGATGAGCAGTTTTCCTTAAACGGCGATGACAAAAACGGGACGATCACGATCACGACCACGATCACGACCAGTATGGCGACTATATTCCACCGATGGTGTGATAAAAACTAAATATATATAATATTTATTTTGATTATTGATAGTTACAGACAAATGACAGAGATTTTTTCTTCAAAGGGCCATTTTAAACTTGAAAATAGAATGACCTATATTTTGAAATATAAAGGTCAGAATGACCTAATCTTTGGATTTGGTTATCAAACAAAGCCCCTTCTTTGATATCCCGTACAATTTATTCTAAATATCTTGTGGGCTTTTATAGGGTCTCACTTGTCCTGTAGCATAGAGATAGCCAACCTTTTGCCGTCAGAAGGTATTTTGACCCAATTATTGAGATATCTGTGTGGAGAATGATGGTTAACAAAAATGTTCAGATTGCCGTTTTGAATTGACCAAGTTTTTTGAGCTTGATCTTAGGTATTCAAACTTTTAACTTGGTTTATCGCTTGCTTGTTTGGCTGTTTGATTTGTTGTTGGTTTTACGTCATTGTTTGGTTAGGCTAGTAGGTTGTTTGTTCTTAAAATGTAACCACTCCTTGGTAACATACAAATCAGATTCTGAAACTTCTACAGAGAATATCAAATATCACCAGCAAGAACAGAACAAATATTTAACATATAAAAATTCTATTGAGGAATAACAACAATTACTTATGATATCACTACAACCATAATTTCTTAATCTATTGATACATCGCAGCTTTACATTGCAGTCCAGCTTAAAAGCTGAAGGAAAAGGGTGTGTGAAACATATTTTTTTTAGAATTTTGGTTAAAACATCAGGAATTAGTCAAATAAAGTTTTCATATATATTTTCAGTACATATATCATATGAATAAGTACAAAATAGATCAATGATAACAGACTGGGCTTTAAATGTTCTTATGTACTCTTTCTTTTGCTTAAAAACAGCAACATTTCAAACAATCCATAATGCAATTCATAATGCTTGACAGATCTTTAATTATGATTTGATATTTTGCATGATATTTTCATTTGCTGTATGTCTATGTTCCCTTACACAAATAAAAGGTTAATGTCAATGATTACATAATCAAAGCATGTCAACACTGTCATTAAACGACAGGAAAATAACAATATTGATTGGTATGTATGTTGATACTATTTTACTTATACAATTATATTATATCATAATATCCATGATTATAACTATTGATAATTTATTAAATGTTTAATAGTTTCATATTTTATGAATTTATTTAATACTGTATTATAGTAGAATACTAAGACAAATAGGAAAAATATAACAACTTTCATATAGTAATTATTCTCATGAAAATTAGTAAAAAAATCAACTTTAATTTTATTGAACATGCATCTATTTACATTTTTGAACTCTTAAGTATAGGCCTACATGGTCTATATACATGTAGAGAAGCATTTGAGTTAAAATGAGCTGTTTGTCAAAAGTCATACACAAATTGTATTTTGGTGGGCACAGTTTCCCATAAATGACTATAAAAAAAATATACAATTGCTTCAAGGTTATTATGCATCATACAACCTATACTCTACAGCCTCTATGGTAACAATAGAAACTATATGGCTACCTCAAGGAATACGGCGAGTCATGGCAGGCATAGTTTTCTGTAAGTAGAGAAATGCCAATAATCACCATAGATTTCAATGTTGTTGTACAACATATCCCAATTGGGAAATACCAATTCTATGACAGGCATAGAAAATCTAAAGTTACCTAAAGGCTGCTGTATGATATACAGTTACCTTTACAATGGCAATAGAAATTCTACACTCAGCTCAGAATCTAATCCCTAATTGAGTCAATCTCTATCAATGTAAAGTTACAAGGTGTAATTTTACAAATTAGCCTATTGGAAAACCATAGCAAATCTACAGTCGCCACAGAGTGTAAGGGAAGTCTATGATAGACACAGTTTCTCAAAATAGAGAAATACCAACGACCTTAGAAGACTTACAGTCATCTCGAGGTCACTGTACATCCTCAATGATAACCACTGAATTAACAGTATATGGTCACCACAAGAAATATGGCAAGTCTATTACAGACATAATTCTCCCTAAGTAGAGAAATGCCAATAACCACCATAGATTTCAATGTTGTCAAACAACATTTCTCAATTGGGAATACCTATGCTATGATGAACATAGAAAATCAAAAGTTACCTAAAGGCTGCTGTATGACGTACAGTCACCTCTACAATGGCAATAGAAATTCTACACTCAGCTCAGAATCTAATCCCTAATTGAGTCAATCTCTATCAATGTAAAGTTACAAGATGTAATTTTACAAATTAGCCCATAGGGAAACCATAGCAAATCTACAGTCGCCACAGAGTGTAAGGGAAGTCTATGGTAGACACAGTTTCTCAAAATAGAGAAATACAACGACCGTAGAAAACTTACAGTTGTCCTGAGGTCACTGTACATCCTCAATGATAACCACTGAATTAACAGTATATGGTCACCATAAGAAATATGGCAAGTCTATTACAGACATAATTCTCCCTAAGTAGAGAAATGCCAATAACCACCATAGATTTCAATGTTGTCAAACAACATTTCTCAATTGGGAATACCTATGCTATGATGAACATAGAAAATCTAAAGTTACCTAAAGGCTGCTGTATGACGTACAGTCACCTCTACAATGGCAATAGAAATTCTATATTCAATTCAGGATCTAGTCCCTAATTGAGTCAATCTCTGTCAGTGTAAATTTAGTGTGTAAATTTACAAGATCAGCAACCATAGAAAATATACAGTCGCAACAGAGTCTATGACAAGTCTATGATGGACAGTTTCCCAAAATAGAGAAATACCAATGACCCTATCTATGGTCATCTCAAGGTCACTGTACAGCATACAGTCTACACTGTACAATAACCATAGAAATTATATGGTCACCACGAGGAATGAAGCAAGTCTATGATATAGTTCTCCGTAGTAGAGAAATGCCAACAACCATAAATTTCAACGTTGTTGTATAATGGAGCATTTCAAAAGATCGATATCAGAAAATTAACTGTATTTGAAGAGTTAGGGGGAGGGAGGGGGGTCATAAGCATTAATCCGACATCGGCCTGGGAATTTTTCATCCAGTGCACTTTTGGTACTACTGAGCACTGAAAATAAAAAGATCACAACGAAGTAAAATTATACTAAAAATGATCTTTTTGAACCCTATTTATGGCAATCCTGAAGTAACAAATATGAAAGTTTTGTCAATGTATTCTGGTCTAGATAAAAAAAAAACACTGAACCAAACAACAAAATCGTCAAAAAACAGTAAAATGTGGACAGAAAAATACTTGTACAAAAATGATTTAACAAAATTAGATTTGTTTCTGAAGCAGGAAAGTTTGAGTATTTGGCGAGCTGATCTTCCAATTACTGACTTTGGAAGCCAGCACAATCCACCTAAGCCAATGGGTATGTGTTGTATGCATCCAAATGCCTTTAACGTGTCCATTTAAATGACCCAACAGTTCTTTAATGCTATTGTACTGCAGGTGCATACCGATTTATATTATATTATTATACATTCACCTTCTTCCAAGGCAGTCTTTTAACTTTGTGTCACCTATGGATTCACTTATGTATTCATTTATAGTTTTAAACCTTAGTGTATCTTAGTGTTAGATTAATGTGACTTTCGAAATGATGCATATCAACATTTCTCAGACACAATTATAAGGGGGGAGGGAGGGGTTTGTTCAAATAGAGTTACTTTTCCGATATTGATCTTTAAAAATTGCTCCATAACATATCCATATTGAGATATACTTATGATATGACAAAAATAGAAAATCTACAGTAACCTCCAGTTTGCTGTATAACACGTGGTGACCTCTTCGATGGCACTAAAAATTCTACAATCACTTTAAGATCTAGTCTCAAATTGTCTACAATGGCACTAAAAATTCTACAATCACTTTAAGATCTAGTCTCAAATTGTCTACAATGGCACTAAAAATTCAAATAAGGGTGTCAAATAAGTCTGTTCTCCCCCCTTAACTTTTTTATCTTTGAATTTATCATACTTTCCCATATATCATTTTGAAGCTCATGGAAAATGCTGATCACCCTCAAAAAATCATAAACTCCTCCTTATAAAATTGCTACAATGTTTCTTGTGAGGTTGTAGTTGACCTTTGATTACGTCAAAACAAGTCAAATTACCAGGTATAGTGAATGAAAAGTGAAAAGTTGATACTGCAGTGACAAAGCCAACATTGGGTGATTTTGATGTTTCTCAATATCATTACAAAGTAAATGTGTTACATTCAGGGGAGCCTTTGAAGCAGGGGCATTTTTCATCACAAAATAGTTGATAACACTTAAAATTAAACGTTCTGAATGATTTAAACGGGATCAAATCCTCGTAGAAATGAGGCCATCTGGGATGCTGGGGGAGACATACAGACTATTCCAAAAGTGAAATATGGACATCACTAAAAATACTCTAAAAATTTGGAATTTAACCAATCACTCTGAAATTTGGTGTGTGATCAGCAAATTAAATTCCCTTTAAGATGATATATACCAACCCTATGTTATCTCTGAATTAAAAAAGTTAAGGGGGGAGAACAGACTTATTTGACGCCCTGTACAATCACTTTAAGATCTAGTCTCAAATTGTCTACAATGGCACTAAAAAATCTACAATCACCTTAAGATCTAGTCTCAAATTGTCTACAATGGCACTAAATATTTTACAATCACCTAGTGTAAATTTACAATATGTATATGTACAATAGGTAAAATTACAAAGTAGCCTCCTAGGCAATCCTTCAAAATATATAGTCACCTAAATAAAAAGTCTAGTACTTTCACTCTCATTGATAAAATCATTCATTGATATTCAGCATATGTTAAACTTGTTGATGATAAATGAACAAAAATGTCTATTATCAGTATTCAGAGCTGACAGTGGATGTAGATCCCAGTCTCCATAGTTTCAAAGTCAGTTCATAGAGGCCATACACTTGGCAGTTAGGATCAAACACCACTATGTTTTTCGTGAATGCTTTGTATTCACGATTCCTCTTTTGGAACTTCTTCCAACCATTGGATGTACCATTCTGAAATAAAATTAGATAACATTAAGATGCATCAATTTTAATCAAACATTTCAAAAGATAAAGATTTAAAATTGTACATAAAAATATGTTATTCTTTATTTAAAACATCTATTCTAATATTTTTACCATTTTCTCATTCAAATTTTAAAATTAACTTAGTATAATGTATTAGTGGTAATTTTGCCTAATCATTTAATTTGCCTATTGCTTAATTTTTGTCAGGTTCGGAGAATTAAATGTCGAAAATATTATCCTCATAATGTTATCCCATGGAAAGTTTCTTGTCATTAAGAGAATTAGAATTAGAATAAAGGACCCATGGTCCTGTGCTCACAAAGTTTGGAACCTTCAGAGGAATGTATATCCCGACTTTCTATTGAAAATTTCTTTTTGGCAAAGCTCCTTTGTCCCTAGGCATCAGCATATATAATTTGAACCAAATCCATCAACTAGTATGGAAGTTATCAACATTTATATTTTTACGAAAAATGGGGCCATTTTGAATTGAGCGGCCATATTGAAAATTTCTTCTCGAGCAGATATTCTACACCCATAAGGCATAAGCCTATAAAATTTGAATCAAATCCATCATCTGGTATTTGAGTTGTCGCCCGGACAAACGAACAGACGAACACACGGACAGAAGGCGGGCGGACAAATGCACGGCTTTCCTATATCCCCCTCAAACTTCGTTCGGTGGGATAATTAGTACTTAATTAGCACTCTGGCAAAAGCGCATTTATGAGCACTCATGCCAAGAGTGCTAATTTAGTACTTATTCATGACATATGTACTCATTTCAAAAAATGCACTTAGTCAGTGCTCATAGCAGGCTCGTAGTCAGGGGGGTCCACAGGGTTTGAGCGGACCCCCCCCCTCCCCCGGCCAAAATCATGCAGTTTTTGACCATTTTGAACAAGGAAATTATTGCTCATCATATGAGTACTCATTTAGTACTAAAACTTGCAATAAATCAGTACTCGTGTTATAAGTGGTCAGTTTAGTACTAATATTTACTGAAATGAGCACTCAAGTAGCGCTGAAATCAGAAAAGAGAGCTTACCTTTCCTGGGGCAATGTTAGTCCTACTAGAGATATTTTGTCAGTGGGTTGGACTCTATCATGGTCTGATGGGTCTGCAAATGTAAGGGGCAGCATACCTTGTTTCTCAAGATTAGTTTCTGAAAACAAATCAATGATTTTCAGTTGCAACATACTCAGAATAGAAACCCATTCTACATTCTATGTATTGATTTCAATAGTAAATTCACATATTTGAGACAAGACCTATTTTAGCGATATTTAGATGTCAGGGAAATTATCACTTCATACAAACTCTTATTAATAAATGAGTATACTGTGTACCTTAAAGAAGTATTTCCCCATTCAACTGAAATATGCCGTAATTGTGACTCTAACCCCCTAGGAGGAAAGTTAGAACTGGTCAAAGTTCGCAAAATACCCAAATTGTCATTTTTTGACTTGAAACGAAAAAAACCCTATGTTCTGCCCCCCCCCCTAACCGTTGGTGTCATTCTCTATAGCCTAACTGTGTAAGGGTTAGGTTCACATGGCTTTAAGTTTTCAGGAATTTCAGGAAATTCCAGGGAAAAATTGACCAAAATCTGACCCCATTACAAATTTGGATTTATTTTTTGGGGCGAGTAGGTTGTCAACCAAGGGTCTCAAAATTAATGTCATATTTGTTAATTTTTTTCCTATGAAGATACTTTTTCCTCCAAATTTGAAAGTACAGGATGTTCAGGAAATAAAGATAATAATATCATAACTTTTTTATTTATTCATGGATTGCATTGAAAGTTTCAGAGATTATAGTTTTATAGTTTAACATATTTTAACTTATTGTTAGAGTTTCAGCTTCAAGCGATTTGATTGGTTGATTCTGTGGTTGTCATAGCAACTTGAGTAGCACTAAGGCGGGGCAGGTGGAATAACTACAGTATATTTGCATGTTTTAAATGTTTTAAAAAGAGATTCTATTGTGTTTATGACTTAAAACGGATGCTTAAACGTAGTTATAACTAAAAGCCCGAAATTCTTTGCCAATTTATCAATTTATTCTACAAAATTTCCCCCATTCTAGACACAAACTCTTTGCCTCTTGAACCTTCTTCAAATACTTCACAGAATTCTTCTTGGCTCATTTCCTAAAGTCTGTTTAACAAATGTGAACGTATGGTATGTGTATTCTCAAATGCATGTCCTCTTAAGTCCTGTTTTGATTCAGCAAAGAAGTATATATCATTTGGCGCTTGGTTGGGTGAATGAGGTGGATGCTTGAGTTGCTCTAATCTCAGCTACTCAATTTTCTAGTGATTATGGCAGCAGTATGGGAGGGGGAATTGTCCAAGTGGAAGAGAAATTGCATCCCGAGTCGCTTTCTATGTAATGCCTGCATTAAGTCATGAAAATTCCACTGAAAATCATTAAAAAGCATTTATTTGACTTTTATATCATGAAACAAAGCAATAGGAGAATTTTATCATGGAGATGCACCAAGAAAGCTTTAAATATGGAGTCAAAATCGGTTTGCCATGCTAAATGTTGCACAGAAACTACTGCAGTCATTCCATATGCCCCGCCTTAGCGCTACTTGCGTTGCTATGCCAACCACAGAAATGACAAATCAAATCGCTTGAAGCTGAAACTCCAAAAGTAAGTTTAAATATGTTTAAACTATAATCCCTGCAAATTTTATTAAAAATTTATGTCATTATTATCTTTATTTCCTGATTTTTTGGAAGGATAACCTACCGAAACCCATCACTTGCTTAGCCCTTGTTTTACACCATTCAATTTTCAGGAAATTTGAAATTTGTTGCTTTAGCCATGAGTTCAGTGTAGCATCGCCATTCAAGTCATGAGGAACTGACAAACTCAATACTATAAGCATCAGAAGCATAATACATTTGAGTGCTGTACAGCAATAGTGTACACTCACCTTGTATTATTGCAAAGCTCTTTACAATGATAGCTCTGCCTCCTAGATGACGTGGTTCTAGAGCTGCATGTTCCCTGCTGCTGCCCTCGCCATAGTTCTCATCTCCTTCTACAACCCATGAAAGTCCATTGGCCTGTATCAAAAGAGCAGCATGTTTGAAACTCTTAATTTCACATGTAATGTATGCATTAAAAATATGTTATTTACAATGTCCAAGACAACAAATGCATATGTATCAGGCTCCTAGTGACCTTTTGTTACTTTGAAACTGGAAAGGGGTTCACTCTAACCCCCTTGGCTACAGGCTTGTGGTACACCATCATACTCTCCAGTCAGATTATTACTACTTTTCAACTATCAATTTTACTACCTCCAACCAAAACCTGTGAAGTTCATTTGCCGGCAGAAAATACAAAAGGCATGAACATATCTTCTATATTTCAACAATTTAAATAGAAGACTATACTAACCCTATGAGTAAATTGTTTGATATGTTGTCAAGATGTCCTCTGTATTTCAACAAACACAGCATAGAAATACTGTATATCATTATGTTTGGATAACTGAAATACAAACAGATATTTTAGTGACATTCCGGTACATTACAAAGGCAACACGATTAAACATCACAGCTTCTAACAAATTATTTACTAAGAACTATTGGTAATGATTTGTAATACTGATCGAGATCTACTACACTGATGAGCTTACATTATCAGCCACTAGTCATGCCCCATTACCCTCATTTACAATACATTAATAACCGTAAACTAAGGAAACATGTACTGATCATTAAGTCATAGCACTTCTTGTGATTTGTCTTTGACCTATGACTACTGACCTATACCGGCGATTACTAGAGTGCTGCTAACTCGATAAAAGGCTGGCGCTGGCTAGAATTGTCTATGGTTCTAGCCAGGATAAAGATACCAGTTCTTCAACTCGACAATGGGAAGAACTGCTCTACCGTAGTGACTAATATGTCATGATTGACATCTAAAGAGTCAATAAAAGATATACATATACTGAACATTAAGTAAATACCTTGATTAGAATACCCATAATTATCTTCCAGATCTTTGCCAGACCATTTCTCAAATGGTGTCAGTAGTTGTAGATGCTTACTTTCAGGGGATACGTCCACTTGGAGACTAGAGCCCTCTGCTGGTAGTTCCTGGTATGTGTCCTGACCTGGAAGGTTGTCACCATATGGTGTGCCTAGCATGAACTTGGAACCTAAATAAATATGTTCATCACCATATGGTGTGTCTTCTAGCATAAACTCTCAACCTAGATAAATATTAGGTAGTAAGCTAGCACCCAAAAATGTATTAGTTTGTGAACAAATTGAAATTCTTATGTATTTTTATGTGATACCTCAGAAAATTTTTGTCTGACGCGCCATATCCGGGGCGAACATTGTCAAATTGGGGTTTTCGACCCTAAAATGGAAAACTACAGGGGGTACTTTATCATCATTGAATAAATCATTCAGTTGGTCTTCAATCATCATGATAATTGTGCTGAGAGTTGATGAGATCGTTTTGAGGTAAATATAGTCTAATTGATTTCACATCAACAACTGAATACTACAGTAGTATGTTTCAAGATTGTGGGAACCACAATTTTCGTTCAAAATATCCTTAATTTTGACAAAACCTGAACATGTACATCATGTAGAATATGGATTTTTCACGAATTCGGATCAATAGATATCAGAACATTTTAGCACACTCAAAATAACCAGTACAGATCAAACATTTAAATTTTCCAAACTTTAATACTGATAGAAGTAAAGGTCCCAGCCTCGTTTTGGTTTTCAAAATCTTGTAGAATCTGCGATTTGGAGGATGCATTGAATGATACGTTTAGAAGCTTATATTTCTTTTAAAATATTCAAATAGATTTGAATAATCATCTTCAATTTCCTCCCGATAATCGATCCATTATAGATAAATTAATCGAAACAAGCATTCAGGTGTTTTAGGATACAAAAACAAAACAGAACAGATGTATGATAATTAGAGGTTATGTCACTATCGTTGCATATATGCCCGAGAGTTTCAGTGATAAACATGTATGGCCTGACCTCCAGGGAGGGACATTGATCACTGAGAACCGAGGGCATATGTGCAACTATAGTGACATAAATGATTTATAACATACCTATGATGATCTAGTCTGATCAGAGACTACTGTTTTCTTATCTAATTGTCTAGCTATGGTTCGGAAATGATGATTTATCCCCATGTTTGTATCTTACGAGTCAATTTGACCTGGGCCTAATGTATGACGTAGTTCCAGCGCTTGACCAATCAGAAAGTTAGCGGGCGCGGGCTTTTCAAAAGTTATATTGGCCCGCTGTCTTGTGAACACTCTACACTATACCTCATCATAGCTATGTTATAATGATAATTATTGACATATGATAAACATACCATTATGGGCAGTGAGTTCATCTATGAGTGGGCTGGTGATGTCACAAAAGTATGAGTGGCAAATTTGGCATCATTGCGACAAGTTAAGTTCCTGTTATATCACCCTTCTTGACATCACGTTTGTCAAGCACCATACCAACTGCCTCTCCAAGAACAACTGCCTACAATAAAGAAACAAACATATCGGCCATCATTGTAAATTCAAAGCCACATCTGATTCATAGTATTTCAGCTAATCTAAATCTAAATTCCTAAGTTTATCAACATGGAAAAAGATGATTATGACATATCACACAAACATAGCTGCAACAAATGACTTGTGTTTGCTTAGAAAGGTTAAGGCGCTTGATCATTATGTTCAAGAGATGTTTGTTAAACTGATTCAATAGTTTTGTAAAATGAGTTATTATTGTCCATACACGGTCTGCTCTGTCTTAAGAAACAAGCCATATGCATATGAACAGCTCAAAGTATTGCTTTGATTTTTCCAGACATACATGTACCTGTCCATCTCTTTCAATGGTAGCTCTGATCTGTTCTGAGCCAGGTGTGATTGTGAATGCAGCCTTGGCCTTGACACCTTTATCCAAACACTGCTTGGCTATAGCTGCAGATCTGCTCATTTCTTCATAACTGCTGTTGGTACAACTTCCAATCAGACCTAAACATTAAAATCAATAGAGTTAGCATTACAGAATTCAAATTTTTATATGTACTCAAAAGATTGTATGAAATTTTCAAAATGAAATTACTTTATTATTTACAGGTTGAGCCAAAAAATGTAACCCTAACGAATCTTAATAACTCAGTCATCCAGTATGGGTATTGAGTCATATTTGGCACAACTGACCCTTGTTCAATGTACTTTCATTCTTCTAAGTTTCATTTTTCTACTCAAAAGGTTATGATTTTATGGCCATTTTACAAAACATGCTCCAAATGCCAAAACATACCAAAACCACCCAATATGAATCGCCAAAATTTTACCTTTGGGGCTATTTCAAATATAATGTTTACATTAAAAACTCTAGAAGCATCAGAGAGTTGAAACAAGATATTAGAAGGGAAATGAGAGCCTTTACACAAGATATTTGTGAGCGTGTAGTCAAAAAACTTCACCCGATGTGTTAAATTTGATTCAAAACACAAGACTGTCATTTTGAGGATGTTTTTTAAAATGGCTATAAAATCATGACCACTTTGAGTGGACCCATGAAACTTAGTAAAATGAAAAACATTGAACAAGGGTAACTTGTGCCAAATATGATTTTAACCCCATACTGGATAAGGAAATTATAAAGATTCGTTTGGGTTACATTTTTTGGCTCGCCCTGTACTTGGGTGGTTCTGTCAGATTTCAATGTTATTTCGCAATCTTATTGTATCTTAAGACAGAATTAATTCAATATTCAGGAAGTTCATATAAACTTCCTACATAGATACCATGTGGGGTAACTCTCAAAATATTTTTCTAGACAAGCTGTAACATTGAAATGAAGTTGCTACATACCAACTTTGATGTCCAAAGGCCAGTCATTCTTCTTGGTTCTGTCTCCACGCGTCTGTATGGGATGTGAAAGTCAGAAGTGAATGGACCATAGACATGGGGCTCAAACTGGAATACAGAAAATAGCAATTCGAAATTTGAATTGTTCCATCATTTATAATATGGCAACTGGCACAGATGCTTTATTTTTTCAACCATACTATTAAAAGTTATGAAATTAAAACTGATATTACAACACAAACAGATAATAATTAAATGAAAACACAGAATTAAACTCCGTGCCAAGAACTGATGGCCAAGAACTGATGAAAAGTCAGTCCAACCCAGTAGGGATTGAACCTACTATCCCAGATACATAAGTACCTACGACTACACAATACTTCAGGCTTTGGCATTCTATCCATGAATTAATCTATTACAGATGTGCTCACTTTATTATGCTTAACTCACTCAGATTTATCTCAATAAGCTGATCATATTAACATCATTTATCTGCAGCAAGGAGATCTTGCCTCACATCATCAGCAGTCTCACCTATACCTGCAGCCAATACACAATACAATGTTAATATTACATACTTCTCACAGGACAGATTGCTATAAAGTAATGATAAAAAGGATTGGACAGAAGGGTTATGCCTATGATAAGCCTCTCCGAGTGAATAGCAATGCTTTAAATGCCCCATATAAACTTATATCATAGTCTTATCATGAAAAAGTAATATTTGAATGATTAAACTATATGTCAAACTTTGCATGGTGCCTTTAACCATGTCTTACTCCAATGATTAGAGAACAATGGACATGATTAACTTTTGAAAGACTATCTTGAAACTAGACAACAGCAACGCCAAAGCATAGCAAATCCCATTGAACAGCCAAGGCTGGCATACTAACAAACAAAGAATATAGCAAAAATAATGGCGACCTTCTACCAAAAGTGGCATTAGACAGTGTGCCATGCTTATAGTATTCACATACCAAATATGAACAAAATCACTCCACTACTTTTCGAGTTACAGCAAAAATCATAAAATAACGAGTAAAGGCCCCCTTTTTCAAGATGGCTGCCATGTGCTTCTTTAATATTTACATTTCTAGCTTTATTAATGTCCTTTATAACTTTTTACATATAAAACATATTGCTATTACAGTTTTACATATTGCACCTAAATAACTGTAAAATCGGCATTAAAATGGCCACCATTTTTAAATGAGCGGCCATTTTGAAAATCGGCTTTCGAGCAGAACTTTTAAAACCATAGGGTATATGTGTACAAAATATGAACAAAATCGGGTCAACTGTATTTGAGTTATTGCCTGGACGGATATATGTACGTACGTACGGACGGATGGACGGACGGACGGACAGGCAGACGGACGGAGGTGCTCCCTATATCCCTCCGAACTTTCTTCTTTTGACAGTATACATTATACATTTTCACCATGTTTGGTCAGTCATCGGTGAGGGTATAACAAATACATGTATACCTGATCTGTTGGTGGCATCAAAATATGCTTTCATACAGTGGTTGTACGGAAGCACAGATGTTGCAGCACCTATTTCAGCACCCATGTTCCATATTGTATCCATACCTAAACAGTAATAAACACATGTTTAAAGGTTGATTGCCTGGAAATATTTACACAATTGAACATGTTGAACAACTAATATACATACTTTTTGTGGCTTGGTTGAATGGCTATGAATCCCAAGTTCCGATGTGTCTCATCAAGAAGACAATAGAGTGACAGAGATTATGTCAAGCGGAGTTTATAATTTTTGTGCGAATTTTCTTCTTGGATCGAACAATTTCATTTTAATTTGATTAACTTATATTACGATAGGTGGCAAAAGGTCTCAAGGTAGGTCACGTGACACAAAACAACAGATCATATGACTGCTCAGCTTCAATTTTGCTCTCGCAGTCGAAACTGAAACTTCTTTCATCAATATCTAGGTTATTTTTTCAGCCTCCAGTATTTTGACAAAAGTAAGTTCAGGTCATAGCCATTCTTCGGGGCACATTTGAGGCACCAACGATTTATTGAGTTTTTCTAAGGAATTATTCCCGATTTCCAGCTATTGCACCTTTAATTGATTAGTTATGTTTTTGGTATTATAGAATAAAGGGACTTATTTTCCAAACACTGGCTATGATACTGAACAGTATAAAATATAATTATTCATACTCATGTACATGTATGATCAAAATCTTTTGATGCATTTTTATTTTTTTTCTACTTAAAATGCAATTTTAAAGTGCACAAATATAAATCACTTGAAACAAGAATATGCACATATAGTAAAACAAGTGGAAGATATTTGAAAATACTTGAAGTGGTTTACCTTTACAAGATATGGAGTGCAAGCCTGGGCCAAAGTATTCTATAATGGCTCCTGTGCCTCCTTTAACTGTGAGGATTGCCTGTCACCTTAAGGATACCATCCTTTGGTGAGGTCCACTCACTCAACTCTCCTGTCAGCTTAACTCCAATCATCTACAGTCAAAACATAAACATGTACCATATTCTCCCTAATGAGTCCTGACAGTGCAGTTTTCAAATTAAAATCTAAAAGAAAAAAAATTTAGATTGATATCTTGTTGTGTCAATAATTGGAACTAATGCATTAAATTTTGTGTTTTCTTGAGTTGTTTGTGCACTCACTGGAACTGTTCGCTCATTAGAGAATATGGTAATTTTACATTGAGTTACCGTAACAAAGTTAGTATATTAGTACACAGAATTCATGTTTCTTATAATTTTTGATGGAACAAATCGTGAAACTTTGTGGGTTGGTTCTGTATGGTATTTCAAGCAATTTTAGTCGAGTGAACAAAGATGTACAAGCCTCATTTTGGAAAATGTCATGTTATACCCCTCAGCCATTTTCAGGGAGGGGGTCAAAAATGAAACAAGAACACAAATGTGTACAATATGTCCCCACCAATGGGTGATCCTGTCAAATGGTTATCCTGAAAATGAGTAGACAAGACTTTACCATTACAATTTTGGGACGGAAAATGCAAATGACCACCTTAAAATTTAGCCAGAATGCCAAAAAAATAGTCAGCTCTAGATGTTCATACTAGAAACCATCCCTGAAAATTTGAAATTGATCAGTCAAACAGTAAACCAGAAAACGCGTAAACAAGACTTTACAGAAAAGATTTTAGGACAGAAAAATCCAAAATGGCTGCCTTGACATTTGCCCAGAATGCCTAACAAGAACATAAATGTGTACAAAATGTCCCCACCTATGGGTGATCCCATCCAATGGTTATCCTAAAAATGAGACAAGACTTTACCGACACAACTTGAGGACAGAATATCCAAAATGGCCACCTTTAAATTAACCTAGAATGCCCAAAAATTAGTCAGTTCACCCCTGAAAAGTTGAAATTGATCCCTCACACAGTTAACCAGAAAACATGTAAACAAGACTTTACAAACAAGATTTTAGGACGGAAAATCCAAAATGGCTGCCTTGACATTTATCCACAATACCAAAAAACTAATCTCTTCTAGATTTTCATACTCAGAATCATCCCTGAAAACTTGAAATTGATCTACCAAACAGTTCACCTGGAAATGCGCAGACAAAACTTAACAGACAAGATTTTAGGACAGAAAATCCAAAATGGCTACCTTGACATTTACCCAGACTGCCAAAAAACTGATCAGATCTAGATTTTCATACTAAGAATCATCCCTGAAAATTTGAAATTGATCTACCACAGAGTTTACCTAAAAACGCGTAGACAAGACTTTACGGGGAAGATTTAAAGATGGAAAATCCAAAATGGCTGCCTTGACATTTATCCAGAATGCCAAAGAACTAATCAGATCTAGATTTTCATCCTAGGAATCATTCCTGAAAATTTGAAATTGATCTACCGATTAGTTCATCTGGAAATGCGTAGACAAGACTTTACAGACAAGATTTTAGGACGGAAAATCCAAAATGGCTGCCTTGACATTTACCCAGAATGCCCAAAAACTAATCAGATCTAGATTTTCATACTAAGAATCATCCCTGAACATTTGAAATTGATCTACCAAACAGTTCACCTGAAAATGCGTAAAAAAGACTTTAAAGACAAGATGGACGGAAAAATCCAAAATGGCCGACAATAAAAAAGTGATTATGAGTTTTTGCTGATTTATTTTTACAAAATTATCACATATAACTACTGTTAACAATAACATAGGCTTTTACAACAAAGTACACCTGACCTGTATGTACAGACGGACGGACAGACAGATAGACAGACAACCAGACGGACGGACGCGCCTAGGCCGACAATATGGCCCCACACTATGTGGTGGGGAGATAAAAAGCAACAGTGAAGCCGTTTTTCTTGAAGTTTGCAGACAAGGATTTTAGCATTTGACTTCAAAATGGCTGACAGGAAGTAGGTATCGAGTTAATTTTTTTCATCCACATCTGTAGGCATTCATAAGTTATCCCTGAAAATTTGAAGGTGATATCTGTAGCGGTTTTGGAGAAAACTGCCGGATGTACAGACAGACGGACGCGCCTAGCCTGACAATATGGCCCCACACTATGTGGTGGGGACATAAAAAATGAAGCAAAATGTGCACTTTTTCTATAATCAATTGCATTTTTTTGTATATGGATGAAGATATTTTATTGTAAGTTAAAGATCTGTTACATCTTTTCCCAGCAACACAAAATGTAAAAATCAAAATATTTGCTCAATCTAAAATTGATTGAGTAGCTTCTAACAAGCTTTCGAACTTTGACACTGATATAATAAAATATGCTGAATCAGCACTTTTGAGCCTGAACTGTCGCCTGCAGGCAATAATAACAATGCAACATAGACATTTCATCAATACTGATACAACTAATGCACAAAATATAACTAGTATGACAGTATGCTTTAATTTGACATTGATGTCTACTTACCCCCCCCCCCCTCCATAACCAAAGGCCAGATATTTAGTTAATTTTTTTCTTTTTTCTTATCTAATAAATCCTGTATGAACTCAAAAATGTTTACATGTATTGAGGCATGAATTATGTATTTCCTTGATTTTATTTCAGTTCTAGAACCATCTTGGAAGAGAAGATATACAATAACATGTAATTAGCATAGAACTTAAAGAATGTCTATATTATATTTGGACATCAAAGGGTTATACTCATACTTTTCTTTAGGCAGACATCATTAAAATAACTTATAAGCCTAAAATATAACATATTTAGATTGTGGCAATATAAGATTCCCCAGAATTAAGGAGGATTATTTTATTATAATTTTTTGAAATTTTACCCCTCTGAAAATTATGGGTGGGGGGTACAAAATCAATTTTCTCCCCAAAAACAGCTCTAGAACTTTGTACATGCGGATAAAAATGTTTTAAATGGTTCACAGATCCACTAAATTAAATTTACGATTTGTTCCATCCAAAATCATAAGGGCCGTTTTTTTAATGAATTCGGTGTACTAATACCTGTTAATTCATAAATACATTCACTAAAATATAATTATCTCAGAAATAGCAATTAGAGGATAAGTTAGCTATGACTTACCTTTGGGCATTTCAGTTCCCAGGGTATATCAGCCACGACATCTACAGCATCAACGCTACTCAATATAGGCCCCTAAGACCTCCTCCATTGGAGATGTGGCCGTCTGTACCGATCATCAAAAGACCTGGGAAAGCAGGATTCTCAAGGACAATCTATAATAGACAGGCAATACCTATTTATTTTGTTTACAAATATTGTGAAAGATTAAATGTTCCAATTGTTTAGCTTTCATTATGCATTCATTCCCAAAGAGACAAATGTAATCTACATTTCACAATTTAGAAAAGATTCCAGCATACACAAAGGGAGAATTAATTTCATTGAACAAAATAAACAATGAATGCACTCAAGTTGTTTCATTGGTTAATATCACAAAATAAATAAATTCCTCATAGGAGACAGTAAGCCCTTTGACATTCAACAAGATTTTATAAAGATGTAACTGGTGAATGATTCCACTGCAAGGCTTCCAGAAGCCAACATCATACTGTACAAGTGGTATTTAATCTGAGTGGTTAATTTGTTGAATGGTCAAATTATATCATTTTCCTCAACTTAATTTTCCCAATGGCAAGAAACTGTCAATCCTGACAGGAGAATACATCGGTAATCAGTATAAAGATAACAAATCATTTTCACTGGGAAACTTAAAACTTTGCCTATGACATGTATTCAAAATTGAATAATATAATACATACTTTAAGACTACAAATATGGTTGGTCTTTTACACATGGTCAGTCTTTTACACATTTTCCTCAAATCCTGTTGTGATGTTAGCTGTGGAAAAAGCTTCGTAAAACCCATATGACTAGTGTCTACTTATTGTACTTACTAGTACCTTCCGGTTCATCCTGGGGGAAACTATGTCACATTTCAAGGTGTCACCTTATGGATTCTAGCTCACTCTGTGACAGCACCTCTGCCAGTGTCACTGCAGATCAGTGTGACATACACTTAGCTCCACACTAAAATTCATAATGAAAATGCTGTTACTTTTAACAGTGTACATTAAACAATCCTAAGGAGCTTACATTTATGA